TGCTGATTTAAGGAAACCTCTGGTGTTTGCACTCCTTCGAATCCTAATATTGACCGCATCTCCCCAAAGACCAGTCATATCACAACGCCCGGCAGTGCGAAACTTTGTTCCAATTCTGATCTTGTCGTGGTATGTTCTAATTGTATTTTTTTCGTCGTTATTTTGCTACCACTTTTTTGATTATTGAATCAATCTCTTTCACCTTCAAACGCATATTTGCCTGCCTAGGATTATGCAACAACGGCCAATCCTGGCAGTGAAGAGGTCATTATCAAATTAGGATTGATAATTCCTGGCCCTCGTCGCTTGAAAGATATTGAGGCGAACGTTGTCGACACGTTAAATGCTCGCATGGTTAGGAGCGAGGTAAGACATCGCTCGTATTATTTTAATCAGTTTAGCAAGATTCTTTCAGCCTGGTTTCTTACTGCCGACGGCGTTATCACCTGGTGATCATGGTGAACTGCGTTTGCATATAGCTCTTGTTTCCAAAACAACATCACAGATCTTGAGAGGGACAATAACTTATCTTGCTGAGGTAGGTGGAGTAGAATGTCGTTATCTACTGTTGTTTGCCGGCGAGTATTTGAGTTATGCAAGTTTCTTGGAATAGGTGGTATTTGAATTGCTCATTTTTTTCATATTTGAGTTTTCAGGAGGAGGACGGGTCAGTGCCTGGAAAGCTTGATTTCAAAGTTCCCTTGCGATCTACAGATTCACTGCTTTCGGTGACGATAAGCAAGTTAGTGGCTGTTTTCTTTTCGCATAGTTGTGGCATTCTTTTTTCGCACTGATTTGCAGAAGTGACTTTTCTCAACTTCTTGCCGATGGCCCCGTCGACTTCTCAGCATCAGCTCAATTTGCTTCTGATTCTAGTTTTCGCGATCTTCTTACAAGAATCACTTTCGTTGGACATCTATCAGGTAAGCGGCGACTTATTAGGTTGTCCCAAAAGTAAACTTTCTAGATAAATCGAAGTCTATCTATTATGCCTACCAGTCTCGACATATTGTTGGATAGAGAAAAGCAAGCTCTACAATAAGACATTCAGACAATTGCAAAAAGTTTCATCTAGGCAGAGTTCGAGGTTAAAATCTGAAAATTTCCATATGCCAAAAAGTCGAATTTTTGTCCAAAACAGTCCCACAA